CGACGTTGGGTGAACAACAGAAGATTTCATTCATAGCTACTTTACAAAATATTTAAATTTGAGCTTTCCAGCGTCTGCTTCGGTTGAAATAAAGAACAATCTTGATGGTTTAAATTAAAGACGGCACGTCGATCGAGAAACTTTGTTTTATCTTTTACTGTTTTAGACTGTCGCGTGATTACCGTCAAGTTTATTCTTTCATACTATTTGTTGTTAATTACCACTAACTTTTTAAAAACATTTTGAATCAGGAATTTGTAAAATAAGTAAATAACAACACATTGTCAAACGTCAGAATCTACGGTATAATATTTGTTTGCAATAATTTCCGTACTTTAATTACAACTGCCGACGTGAATGCCGAAGGGTGCCGAAGTAATTGCCGAAGGAATTTAAGGTGATTTCATTGCGTGCCTCGGCAAAAAAATTGCCGAGGCAAACTCGAAAGTTATCGAAAGACTTCGGCAATTATTTGCCGAGGCAAAAATAGTTGAATTTCGAGGGTTGACTTAATGGGTTAATAATTAGAGGACAGGATATTTTTGTCCATGACACTTGCAAACCTTACACATTCTGATGCCATATTTCTAAAAATGCTTCCAAAATTTGTCAGACTTCCAAGGTGAGTTGGATTCAGTCCACGGTGATGGGTTAAACCTCAAGGTTCAACAGGCTGCTTCGGTAAGTGTTGAAAACTGACCTTTCCATGTCACTGGATGTCCTGATTAGTTAGACTATGGCCTATCGAAGGGAAGATGGCTGTGAAACGCATTTATAATAACAATATAACTCATTATCTATGTTAGTCAATGTTTATTCATAAATCTGGTCCTTCACCGTCACATGTGTATTGTATTTTTGCCCAACTAACCAATAGCAATGTTTTAGGAAAGTTACCTATCTGTGACTTGAACAATAGGCAATAAATTGGAAATTGCTATTGCTGGATTTCGCAAAAATACAAGACACGTGTGACGGTGAAAGACCAGATTTATGAATAAACATTAACCAACATAGATAATGGCCATCTTCCCTTTGATAGGCTATGGGTAGACATTGAAACTGTACACCAATGTCACAGCTGTCATGGTGTCATGAGTAATTTTATTTTTGATGTTTTTGTTGTATTTTGTACTAGATAAATTGATAATTTAAACATGAGCAGCCGATCTGTATCTGATATACAAACTCGAGCCGAAGGCGAGAGTTTGCATATGAGATACAGATCGGATGCGAATGTTTTATCGTACTTAAAAAATGACCCATCATATCAGTTCATAGGTGAAGTAATTTTAAAAATAAACATTGTCTAAGCCGAGAAAATCAAAGCTGAAGTTTATGTAAATCAGGACAAATCTTTATCCGATTTACAAACATTGATTAAACATTAATTTCTTTTGTATTTTCCTTGTGAATTATTAATGAATTTTTTAACTATTAATATCTGTCGTCACCATACTTACCCGTGTGGATGGTTAGGTGCAGACGTGGTCAGCTAATGATCTCCGGATTTGAGTTACTTGGATTCAGGTCCGAATCACGTGGACCTGTCCATTCAGGACCTGACCACCGAACGTCTGCACCTTATCACACCGAACTTAGTTCGATGGAAATTAAATTGAAAATCAATTGTAGTCATGAAAAAAAAAAAATTGCTTCTTCTCTGAGCACATAACCATTGCAGTTGGCTACGAATTAGCTAATGACCTGAGAGTCTGCTTGGCACTCTCTACATCTGATATCCTGAGGGCACATGTCGTACCCAGACTGCGCGCGGCTCCTATGATATTAACCTTGGTTACTATGTAACCTCATTTAACATTAATTTCTTATAGGAGCTGGAGAAATTACTTTTTGATGTGGACAATCCCGAAGTTGAGAGTATCTACAAATCAATGTGTAAGTTCATTTTTGCTACTTAAAAAAGTTGACCTTGTGACTAGACAGCATTCCTGATCAGGTATTGATGTTGAACGTATGTCCATACAATTATATGCTATTTATTCACAAGCCTCTTCAAAAATCTTTTCCAGTGGGACCAGATCAGTCTGGCAAGAAGATGCAGGGTTTTGGTTACACAGCAGCCAAAGAAATAAGTATGTACATTGTATTAGTACTCTAAGAGTATTATTGCGTTTGGAATTGCAACAGAAAATGATCACAAAGAGGTCAGCTAGAAGTTCTACTTTCCAGGGGTGGATCCAACCAGATCTTTTAGGCGGATGTTTTGGACATGGTTCATGATGTGGCTTTTCATCATGTGAAGTGCATAATCACTACAGGGAGCTATGGCAGCAATAATAATAATACCAATTATTTATATAGCGCCAATTCCCTAAAGTCCATTAGCGCTTTACAAGATATGTAACCGAACTAAGAGAAGATCTTACAAAGTAACTAATTAAAAACTATGCTAAAAAGATGTGTCTTAAGAAGTTTCTTAAAAATTTCAATATTATGACAGTTCCGTATTCTGTCTGGTAATGCATTCCACAATGTTGGAGCTGAAACAGAAAACGCTCTAAAACCATATGTACGTAGATTAAAATTAGTTGTATCAACAAGGTTCTTTGAGGATGATCTTAACGTTCTTTTTGGTTCATATGGTTTAACTAATTCTTTTAAATACAATGGTGCCATGTCATGCAAACACTTGAAAGTTAAGAGAATAATTTTAAAATTGATTCGTTGTTCCACAGGCAACCAATGCAATTCCCTCAAAATTGGTGAGATATGATCATATCGTTTAGATAAGTTTACCAATCTAGCCGCTGAATTTTGCACACTTTGAAGTTTTTGGATTAGCCGCTTAGGTAGTCCATAGTAAGAAGAGTTACCATAGTCAAGCCGTGATGTTATAAATGCATGAACTAGAGTTGTAGCTGCTGACTTCGACAAGTATTTCCTTATCCTTCCAATGTTTCGTAGATGCTAGAATCCTGACTTGCATACTTCTGTAATATGTTGCTCCATGGACATACCACAATCGAAAAGCATACCAATATTTCGAACATAGTTCGACGGTGTGACTACCTCACTACACACCGAAACCGAAAAAATAGGTGGTTGAGGAAGGTGTCGAGCACTGAGAACTAACAGCTCAGTTTTGTCTCTGTTCATTTTTAACATATTTGACGTCATCCATGCATCAATGTCAGACACACATGCTTCAATCTTGGATTTTGCTAGATCAAGTTGACCATCCACTGATGATTTAAAAACTATATATAATTGGGTGTCATCTGCATACAGGTGAAAGTCAATACCATGTTGTCGAATGATGTCAGCCAGAGAGGACGTATAAAGCACAAACAACATGGGTCCCAAAACTGACCCCTGCGGAACACCATATTTCAAGTCATAACAATTTGAGGTTTGTCCTTCCACCTTAACAAACTGTGTGCGATCAGATAGATATGATGAAAACCATTCCAAGACTTTACCGTTGAAACCAAACCTTTTTTCCAATTGGGAAAGTAATATTTGATGATCAATCGTGTCAAAGGCAGCCGACAAATCCAATAACAAAAGTATTACCGATGACCGATTGTCTAATGCCAGGAGAATATCATTTTGAACTTTAACTGAAGCAGTTTCAGTGCTATGATACTTTTTATAGGCTGATTGATACACTTCATACAAGTTATTATCCCTAATATAAGTATCAACTTGGGACGCAACAACTTTTTCAACAGCCTTTGACAAAAATTTCAAATTGGAAATTGGTCGACAGCTTGAGAATTCTTCATGATCCAGAGACGGTTTCTTCATAGATGGTAGCAGAAGTGCCATTTTCAAACTGGGTGGGACCAATGCATGATGCAGAGAAAGATTAACAATGTCTGTTATCACAGGAAGTAATAGATGGCCACACTTTTTAAAAATAGAAGCTGGTATAGGATCCAGTTGACATGATTTACTTGACATTTTATCAATTAATTTCCCAAGATTTTCAGATGTTACAGGGGTAAAGGTGGATAGCTCAGCCTGTATTGGGTATGTCTTGTCATAATCGAAATTCATAGATGTTTCAGACAGCAATGTTGATCTTATATTTGTAATCTTGGTACAAAAGAAATTCGCAAAATCATTTGCCAAATTACCAGAAACACCAGATGAAGGATAAAGCTTTTCCGCTTTTTTATGAATCATCTTGTCTACAGTACTAAAGAGATTTCGTTGATCAGGTCCCAAACTATCAATCAAATCACCATAAAAAGACATTTTCGAATGAAACATCAAATCATTGACTTTCATACATTGCTTAACATACAGATCTCTGTCGGTCGCCATATTAGAAGAACGCCAACGCCTTTCAAGTCTCCTTTTAATAATTCTTTGTGCATTATTACAGCAAGGCACTAGTCTGTAGTCTCCCTCCTTGCACCCCTCTCCCCGCCCCCACAACCTCTCCCCCTGCCCTTGCACACCTTCCCCCTTGCACACTCCTTTGCACACACACTAAACTTAAACTCAGAAGCAAACATTTCGATGACAGTGTCTTTTTCTTTTCAGAAAAAGAGGCATCATTTATGGACACTCTAATGAAAGTGAAAAAATCTAGCTCAGAAATATTCAACAAGAATAAATCCCCACAAAACGTTCCTTTCAATGAATACGAACAAACATCAGCCACACCAGAAGCACAGTACACTCCAGTCGATATAGAGGACAGTGGGGTTCATCCATCAAGTAAGTAAACCCTATTAAACTAAACTCTGGATTTTTTATACTCAATACCACCAGCACAAAAGCTATTAGTTTTAAATTGTTTTCTCTGGAGCTGTTTAAAATACTGGTGATGATGGTGGTGATGATGATGATGGTGGTGATGATGATGGTGGTGGTGGTGGTGATGATGGTGGTGATGATGATGGTGGTGGTGGTGATGATGATGGTGATGGTGGTGGTGGTGATGATGATGGTGGTGATGATGATGGTGGTGGTGATGATGATGGTGGTGGTGATGATGATGGTGATGATGATGATGGTGGTGATAATG